CAGTATCTTAGCTCGGTCATTCTCCACCACCTTTGGGGGTGTTCCCCACTTCAATCTTGGGGCTTCCAGTCCATATTCTGTGTCACTATGCCCGCCACTTGGTTATGTCGTTCCATGTACGCTTTCCCTGCCAGCATCTTGCACCCTGCTGTTATGTGCTGGACTGTCTCAGGGGCCTCCTTGCACAACCTACACCTTGGGTCTTGTCTGGTGTGGTAGATCTGAGCCTCTATTGCTCTGATGTTTAGGGCCTGTTCCTGTGCAGCTAGGATAAGTGCCTCTGTGCTGTCCTTGAGTCCAGCTTTTTTCAGCTATAGTCTCATTTTTCTTTTTATATTTTTCTTGTTATTGTATATTGTATATAAAATTATTTGTTTGGTTTTAATGAAATTACGGTAATAAAAAAATTGGATGTTGAGGTTTACATTTTGTGGATGGATTGATTGATAATTTATTGTCCCCAATGGGAAATTAATTTGCAGCATGTCCACATATCAAACAACATATAAGTTACGCTAAAATAGAGAGGAAAAAAAAGAAAAGCCCAAATTAAACCGTTTATCATCAACAATTGCAATGTTTAGYAGCATTAACAGCAACACTTAYAATTTTGAGCAGGCATTTTATACCRACGACCAGAAGGAAGCAGCAGAAAATCTCAGGAGAGAGGATGGTCTGAACATAACCTGACAGAGTTTGCCTTTCTCAGCACCTGCCTGTTATACATAACCTGGCCCTTGCCTTCCTACACAGTTCCGCTCCATTCTTAGTTTCCCTTCACTGCTCTGGCTGGGATTTCTCCCATAGACAAGGATTTCTTCAGAATTTTGTTCGGGCAAATGATCCAATCATTTTAAACTTCAGCAGAGGCCACGCCTCCAGCAAGAATCGCTTCTCTATAGCCGAGAGTCCAGACCCTCGATCCAATCATTTTAAACTTCAGCAGAGGCCACGCCTCCAGCAAGAATCACTTCTCTATAGCAGAGAGTCCAGACCCTTGTACGAAGCAATGAAGGACAAGGGTCTGGTTTAAACCAGGCTAGTTATACAGGGTGTATCAAAAAAAGGAAACCTGGCTTAACATCGTCACCATGGCAAAACTATATACAGTATATTACAACAAGAAGCATAGTTTCACCTAAAAGCTGAAAACAAATGCTTTCTGACGATACTTCATTCATGAATTTCCAGTTACATACGACTGAGCAGCATTGTGTTGAAATTTGGGTCACTGTTTGGAGGTGGCTCACTTTCCAAGTCAATGAAATTAACATGGTTCATTTCATAACTCATTGGGTGTAATCGCAAGTGTCTTTGCTGAAGGATAAAGTGTTTGTAACTCCTCCACACAACCTGCAGGACTTGCAACAGAGAATTGAGCACGAGGTTGAAGTGTTGCACCATCCGACGAGCCGCGAACGGCATGACACGTCGATGTGTGTTGCTGTGTGTTGAGAGGGAGGGGGACATGTGGAAGGCACTGGACAGTGAAGAAAGGGAAACATGTTTTGAAAATGTCCTGAATGCACAAAAGGAATACAATTTCTAAGAAAAAAAGATACAAGTCTGTGTTTAATTTGTTGCATTTCTGAGTGAGCCACCTCCAAAGAGTAACCCAAATTTCAACACAATGCTGCACAGTTGTGTGTAACTGGAAATTCATGAATGAGGTATCATCAGAAAGCATTTGTTGTCTACTTTTAGGTGAAACTATGCTTCCTGCTGTAATATGTATAGTTTTGCCACGGTGACAATGTTAAGTTGGGTTTCCTTTTTTTATACACTCTGTACAGTTCCACAAGCTGGACCTGAGTCCTAMCTGAAATCTTACCAGCAACTTTAACCAGATCACCCAACCTGGTTTAGTTACCCAGAAACAAATTAGCGTACCACGCAATAAAGCAGAACCATAAAACAGATTCAATAAATCTTTTGTAAAACAGTGTCATTATCAATTCAGATAAATATTAAAAACTCCTAGTTTCCTTAAAAAAATACAGTCATTTTGCTGTGGTAACAAAGTGTGGCTCAAAAGACAAGACGTTATCAAGAACAATCCCCAAAGAGTTTTAATTTACCAAAGTTGGTGCAGGATGGGGTGATGACTGGAATAACAAGAGGTGTTTTTATTTTTATTTATTTATTTTAATTTTTTTGGCGAGTTCTAGGTCACAGATCTGAGTCTGGCATAGTCATACAATGCTCAGTTCCTTCCTCAGATACTTCAAGGTTTGTTTATAATGCACATTTAAAGTGCCCGTGACATCAAATTTTCGTAATAAATATGAATGCATTTTAGACAGGATGATATTGGTGACTTATTGTTAAAAAAAATCACATTTCTGAGATGAACAGTTGTTGAGATATTTGCATGTACAGTAACAGGAAGTGATGTCAAAGGGGAACGTTTGCATGTAAACAGCAATGTCACAGCGAATAACAACACAAGCTGTAGAGAAGAATCTGATGTTTGTTTGGATTATTTTGAGTCATCATCAGAGAGATGAAGAAGAGGCAGAGTTCAATAGTTTTAATAATTAAAGACCAGGGAGTTCCCTAAGAGTTTCACTTTGATGTCACTTCCTGTTTAACGTTGGCTGAGCTAAATTAAAAAGTATGCCAGTTATGTGACAAAATGGGTAAAATCATGTATATTATGTCAAATTTCTTAAATATAAAGACGTTTTCTTTGAGTTTTTGTATTTGAATGATATGTATGTCACAGGCATTTTAAAACCAACAACTGTTGCAAAAAGTGCTTTATATAAAACACTAATGAAACATAAGGCCCAACATTTCACAAATGAATGCATATCACCCACCACCTTTTATTATAAGATCCTCTTAAGAAGAGGAGTGGAGTTATAGACATTTTAGACATTTTTTTTAAAGTGTAATATGCAATATTTGGAGATCTGTTGAGTTTGGTAAATGTAAAATTAACTTGTGAACTTAAGGGTTTACTCAAACTGTAAAAGTACATATTTCTTTGAGTTCAGGGTGTGGGCTGGATTTGTGTTAGAGTTCAACATAACATGAACTTCCACATTTAAAATGACACTACAATCATTACGTAACTACATTTACTACTTATACTGCATACTTATGAGACTGCATGTCAGAACTGATTTTTACTCTGATATGGAAAATACTACATTTGATATAAATCTTTGAATAATTATCAAAGGGTGCTTGTTTAATGAGATAAAAAGCTCAAGTAGTTAATGATTAAACCAGAGTCCAGTTCAGATGGCAACATTATCTGGCACTATCAATTAATAAAACTTTCAAATAAAGGTAACTATTGTAGGCCGAAACTGAGGGGTGTATCATTTGGAGGAAACGATTCTGTGAGGCAATATATTAAAAACAAACCATTTAGATAGGCAAAACAACACATTCATTCCCTATGAAAATTATGAGTGCATTATAGATTAATCAGTCATTATTGGAGAAACATTGTCAAAATGAACTTGATGGGTCTAGTTCAGAAGATGTCATCAACCTCATGATTATGAAACACATTTAGTCAGTTCAATTCTAATAGTCTACCAATTATTATTATGTAGCCTAGTACTAAGGAAAACTGTTCTTAAAGTGCCTGTGACATCAGATGTTTGTAATACATATGAATGCATAAAGATAACAATAACATTTTGCCAAAAGGTCCCTCCAACTGAGATGAGCAGTTGTTGAGATACTTGTACACACAGTAACAGAAAGTAACAAGGAAGAGTAAGGTACTTATGAAAACTTTGCTACAATGGTTAATAACAGACAGTAGAAAATAATCTGATGTTTCAATGAATTATTTTGTTGATATCAGAAATGAAGAAGAGTCGAGGTTTGCATAACTTTTAGAGATTCCTATTTTTCATYACTTTCTGTTTCAATTTGGGCACCATGTTAAAAAAAAGACTATGCCAGCTGTGGCAAAAAATGAGTAAAATCATGTGTACTATTACAAATTTATTCAGTATTAGGATGGTATCTTTTACATTTTGTATTTGTAGGAAATTTTAATAAATGTCAAAAAGAACGAAATAAGTAGGTCCTCTGGATGGGCTGTTCTTTAGTGAAACGTTTCGTCTCTCATCCAAGAGACTTCTTCAGCTTGCGACTGTGACTAACCTGTTTGTCCATCATGTGGAGGCAGTGCTTTTAAGGCTGAGTTCGCCTGAAACTCATCAGACTGAAGAAGTGAAACTCATCAGACTGAAGAAGTCTCTTGGAGGAGAGACGAAACGTTTCACTAAAGAACAACCCATCCAGATGACCTACTGATTTTTTCCTTTTTGATTTTTTTTTCCACCTGGATTACTGAGATGCATCAGGACACTTTAAAAAATGTCCCTATTTTTTGTCTCAACCCCCAAAAATAGTGGATTTTTCACACTTTCAAACTAGCCAAAGGGATATTTTATTAAGATAAAAATTGCAACAACATGGATGAAGATAAACACATTATGACTGACTGACTGAATGAATGAATGAATGAATGAATGAATGAATGAATGAATGAATGAATGAATGAATGAATGAATGAATGAATGAATGAATCCACTCACAGGTCTCAGGATACGGTGCATCTCCCTCAGGGTTTGTGCGACGTCTGTGACGCTGCAGAGCACCAAGGTGCAGACGACCACATCCACGGACTCGTCCTCCACGGAGGACATGTCCTCCCCTGTGGACACCACGAATCTCTCATAGCGCAGGCGGTCGTTCTTCTTCATGTTCTCCGCCAGATACTTCTGAAAGTGCGGGTTCGGGTCGGTGCAGACCACCTTGGTGCCCGGCGGGTAAAACTGAAAATTGGCACCTGTACCACAGCCGATCTCTAGGATTGTCAGCTGGCCGCCGTTCCCCTTGAACCCCGACAGATCCCGAAACAGCTCCTTTTTGCTCTCGTGCATCTTCTCGTTGTACTTCACCGACATGCGCTGCAGCACAAACGGAATCATGCGCTTATACAGGCTGTATAAACCGACCGCGTGGATGACGTGAAGAGGCAAACATAACACGTTCACCACGAATGTCCAAAATCTTATTGGAAAACTCATTGCTGCTCTCGTCTCGGCTGACCCTCTTGTTTACAATGTGGAGAAATTCCGCCGGAAAACGCTATGTTACCGGTTAGGATTTTCAAATTAAAAGTTTGGACTCGCACACTCGAAAGTCCGAAACAGTGAATTTTCGCTGTTCATTCAAAAACAGGTTAAGTTTTGTGGACTAATTTTTTTTTGAGGACTTACGCTGGGGCTTTAGAAGCAGGTGAAGAAGGCCCAGCAGAGGCTCTACTTCCTGAAGGGCCTTAAGAGGAACAACACCACCCAGAGACTGCTGGTGACCGTGTCTGTGTGAGGGCTTCTCCAGCTGCACAGTGGATCAGAAGAAAGCACTCCAGAGAATCATAAAGGTGGCTCAGGACATTGTTGGGCATTTAATACTAAAATGCAGTTCAATATGTATCCACTAGAGGACGACAGATCACTGAATATTTTATGAAGTTATTGACTTCGACCCCAACATTTCCTAAAGTGGAGTTTGAAAGCTCAAATGACTATTACCTCAGGCTTGAAAAGTAAATTTGGTTTTAGAAAATTTCAGGTGTATTTATACATGGAACAAAAATAAAACAGAGGATGGGAAAACAAAAACCACACATTTCTAGAAACTTCTCAAACAAACAGAGGTGTTCTTTTGTGTATTAAAGATGACCATATAATAATCATTTGCAGTATTCCTGTTGCAGCTTGATTGGTAATAACATTTCTTGCCCTCTAATCTGATTATGTTCTCAGTTCTTTCCACAACTTAATATCAAAACTTGATATTGAAAGTGTTTGTTTTTAATTCTCATTGTGTGCCTTTATCTGTTTCTATAAAAACAGACATGAAAACTGTAAGTCTAAGTCACAAAATATCTGTGTTTATATGTTGTTATGTATTTTATTTGTTTCTTTTTTGTTGGAATCTTGATTTTATTATATATATATATATATGTATTATTTCTTCTTTGCTGTCAATCATTTCTTCTCAGTTTCTGCTCTTCACCTCCTGCCCTGCCCGCACATGTTCACTCAACCTGCTGCAACTGAGAATTGTTGTGCCTTTTCTTCTGAGTTTGTAAGTTTTACTGTCACACCTTTTGTTTAATAAAGTTTTTCTGTTTATTTGAGCTCCTTTTTATATCCTCTCCTCAAACTGTGACCATATCATGGGCCGTCTATGCTGAGTTTAAAGGAAATGTTTACAAAAATAATAAAAAAAGAAACATAACTGACGTACACAAACAGTACAGTTTTGTAAAGTGACTTTTAGGAAGTCCTATAGCAAATCCTAATTTCAGGAACTCTGATAAAACCTGACATTTGTGTTACCTGTTTTGTGCATTCAGAAAAATCTCATGCAATTTTTTTTCCACTTGCTCTATCAGATCCCATTACAGTATATGTATATTGAGTTCACATAAGATGATTTGGACTGAGCACAATGTAAATATGTGAAATGGAAGTGGAATGTATTGATTTGCTTTATAAGTGCTATGTTTTGTTTGGCTGTTACGACCCAATGTGATACATAGAAATAGAGGCTGACTGATATGAGTTTTTATGAATGATCTGTAGAAATCAGTGTTGATATAGAGCAATAACTGTTTCATTTTATCTTTGGACAATGTGCATTTTTTCATTTAATAAAATGGATTATTACTTAATTCAAAATAATGTGTATTTAACAACCATTAGAAGGACTTTTACACTTAAAAATAAGAGTATTCTTGCTTAATTTGTAGGCAGTGGCTTCTGCTGAAATTTGCCTCTTCATATGTCTATATTTATATTTATTAAAAGTAGCCAATATCTGCTTATTAAAACTGATTGATTGATTAATTGGTCCATCATCCAACCAATTACATTTTGATAGTTTATAACTCGTGCATGCTTAAAGGCACTTTGAAGTTCAAATTTGAAAAACAATTGGTTTATTAAAGTAATTTTGTTTTAATCCATTAAAGAAAAAGAACTGATAAGAGATTAAAAAGATTCAGTTTCACAAAAGTTTTGTTTTGCTTTTGTTCTATTTTAAAGAGTCTTGTTTTCACATAGGCTATACTCTCATTAAAAGTCACGTTAGCTTTGAAACTCCCTAGTTCTAACAACAATATTTATCTATTTATTTTTCCATAAATGAAACTGGAAAAATGTTGTGGCAGTACCAGTGACAGCCAGGATATGAGTGAGTGTGGTTTTGAACGGTAAACAGTGTCCTGCGGTCTCTTCTCCGTTCCTGAAAGCGGAGGCATTTACAGACACTCCCTAACAATTTGCTGAGAGTCATCAATTATGCAGGGCAGCTGCACGCGCTGGGAAGGAAGGTAGCAGCAACAATATGGCGACAGCCGCAGTTACTCCCGACTCTTTTCTACATCCGCAGTTCACTGACAGCTGCCGGGACGCGTGCTAGGACCAGGACAAAGTAAGTGAACACTTTCTGCTCTGCTTTGTGGGAGATTTGCGGCGCCGGGAGGGAGCTCCGCCGCACTTTGTGTCGACTGACTGCAGCCCACAGTGCCGCAGAGCGCTCCCTCTCCCTCAGCATCTTTTTCCTCCACAGCCTCAGTTCGAGGCTGTTCGCCGCCGGGACTCAACGGAGACACAGTTGTGTGTCATGCGTGTGTTTTCACAGGGCGAAGAGGCGGTGATGGTGGGGGTCTGTTTAAGCGGGGCTTTATGTAGGGAGTTGGCCTGCAGCGGGATGAAATGTGTCATTTCTCGGTGTGTCGGAACATCTACGCAGGTGGAGAAGTGAGACCGAGGCAAACTTCTCTGAGTCCTGTTTTTTTTCTCCTGTAAGGCTACAAATAACCATTCTCTTACTTAAAAATAAAACATTWGTTTTTTCACCTCTAGAATTATGTTGTAGCTTTTGCCCCCACCCCCCACACTCCTTCTATGCCCCCCTCCCGCTTGCAGATGCCTGTATTGGAGAGGAGGGGGGGAGTGCGTCTTTACTTTGGCAGTCCTCTCAAAGGGGACCGCGGCACCTCTTTTAGGCCTCCCTCCACATCAAACCCTAGATATTTACCTCCAGGTGAGCACTGCTGAGCTCTGACCGCTCCATGGGCGCGGTTCGGTTCAACTTATCTGATGTAATATTTCAGTGTGACTTTACGCGCGCGGCTCGACTTGATGCAGGGCTTTTTGAGTTGTCAGGACCCAGATTGTGGATCGAACTGACCCACT